AGCTAAAGCCTAGGTGCCTCATACACTGACCATTCAACAACTTAGTTCATGCATAAATCATGATTTCTCAGTTTTTTTTATTTTTTTTTATTTTTAGCAACAAAGCCTGATAGACTAATTGTTCATTTATTAATTCATTTTCAGCTTAGTCCCTTTATTAATCAGGGGTCGCCACAGTGAAATGAACCACCAATTTATCCAGCATATGTTTTACGCAGTGGATGCCCTTCCAGCTGCAAGTTGCAACTCATGACTGGGGAATATTCATACACTCTCATTCACACACATACACTACGGACAATTTAGCATACCCAAGTCACCTTTTGACTTATAGGGAAAACCGAAGCACATGGAGGAAACCCACGCGAACACGAGGAGAACATGCAAACTCCACACAGAAATGCCAACTGACCTTCTTAAAACCAAATACCTTCTTACTGTGAGGTCACTGAGCCCATTGAGCCACTGTGACACCCTGGTTATATAACAATACAATGTAATTATGCTAGTTAAGCCTTTAAATTGCATTTAAGCTGAATAGTAATACTAGTGATAGAAAACTAGAATACCGTTTGTAATATCCCACAGCCAGCAGACCTCCCAGAGGACTGGGTCTGGACTGTGTGGTTGTTGATCAGCCCTGTAGCGCCCTGGTAGACACAGGATCTACCATTTGTTTGTTAAAAAAGAGATTATTACCAGGAATTGATGGCCCTCTTGTGGAGGACTAGACCCCCACTAATACTGAATTGCTTACAGTCACGGGAGAAAGAACAGTGATGTCAGGGAAGAAGCTATATAGGTTTTCTTTAAGGTATTTCTGAAACCAGAAATGTGTTACTGGCTGGTTGGTGTCATCCATGACTAGGGGGAAAGAGGACTGGGATTTTGGGACCTAAAATGTAAAAAAAAAGGCCAGGAGTCTTTGAATGGGATGTGTAAGGGAGGAAAGATTAAATAAGTAAATGAAATGTGGTTTGAGTGATTGACCTGTTCTGCTTTGCTTGATGAGGAAAGAAATAGTTTCCTTATCAAGCAAAGTTAAATCTGAGATGGTGGGGTCAATGCTTGGGTTGAAATGACAGATTATAGTGATTTCGGAGGATCTAACCAGAAAATGCTGTCTGTACAGCTACACTGATAACCTTTGCGGAGGGTGGAAATGCATTCGGAGAGGATATTAAGGGTGATGGGCAGCTTAGAATCTGGGAAGTAGGGGTGCATTTTTTGGATGCCTTTTACAAGAAGGTTGGTTTTAGAGTTGGACTGGCTTTTAATAGAGCTGGCTTACCTGTTCTCGGTGGAGTGAAGTGGATGTGGGTAATGAATGGTGTAAAGGTGTAAAATTGGGAAAAGGTGTTGTGTAAAGGGTATGAAAGTGTTTGAATGCATTCCATGCTGTGAGATTGGAGGTGTAGGAGCCATATTTCATTGTTTTTATTGTTCATTTTATTGTTCTAGGTAATTTTCCAAATTTTTTGTGTTATATAATGTGTTCTTGCTGATTTGCATGTCATATACTTTGAGTTACTTTTTACTGCACGTGTAGTATGCTTCAGATAGTATGCATGTTTTTGTTTTTTTGACACACGTTAGTTTTTAGTGTGATTTGCACGAGTGGTTAACTGAGGAGATTAGCTATTGTCCAAGGGAACGTCCTTTGATGAATAGTGGATGTTGTGGCAAGGGTGTTCCTGGATTCTTGCTGGCAGAGTCTTGAGCAGGTTCAGCTAAAGACTTGGCTTCCCTTTTCTATTTTCTGGGACCCAGCCACTCCGTGGCTCTGAATTAAAGAGTATGTGATGTTACCCTGATAATAACTATTTTGAGACGTTTTTTGGCCTCCACTGTAACTGGGATCTAATTTAACTTTGTCAAAGAAGTTAAAGCTTGCTGATGCAGAAACCGAAGACAAGTCTAACTGATTCTTCAGGATATAAGACATTTTTAAATAATCTTCTTGCACCAGACTGGCACCTGCCTCAACACTTGTGATGACATGAGTGCCGTAATCAAGAATGAGTTTCTCTGACAGGTAAGTTGCTAGACGTGTTTCATTGTTTTTAATAGCATCTGCAATTTCTTCTGCTTGTTGAGCAAAATTGGAATCCAGATGAAAATTAGGATACGCCTTTACTGTGTAGAGATGATTACGCACCTGAGAAATAAAAGACGTAATGAAAGTAGTGTTCTAAAGTTGGCCAAACATATAAAATGACATTAATTATATGAATTGTAGAGGCTTTATGTATAGTTTTAAGAGCTTTTTTTACAATAAGTACCAGGTAAAACTCTATTAGTTGAAATTTACTTTTTAAATTTAAAAGTCTCTTTCACTTGGTGAGTCTTCATACGCTGGTGTTCAGCAGAAAATTTTCCATTGAGCACTGAATAAAAGGAAGCTTCTGCATTGACAGAGTTTGAAGTGGAACTTGTCAGGTCCATCCATGACATGATGATTTCTGAGTTTGTGTGTCTTTGTTTCCGATATTTCTTTCCAGTATAGCCTGCCTTGTTTCATTGTTAGCCTAGTTATGGATTATCACCACGTATGTCTAATTCCGTTCTCTTGTTTCCTCTTGTGTTTGCACCTCTGGTTCTGTTCAGCTTTCAGTTTCATTTTTCTTTTTCTTGTTTAAACACATTGCATCACAAATTTTACATTTGTTCTGTTGTTTAACCATTTGAATCTCTGCACCACCTTGTGTTCAGTCCCCTAGTCTTTATACACTACCATTTGCTACCCAGGCTCATTCTAAAAAAATTCCTCTATGTAAATATCTGGAGACCTCCAAATATGACCCTGGAGGCATGTTTTTTTTTTTTTTTTTGAGGTTTTTGTTTTCGTAAATCCACCACTGGCCACTGTGTACGCTTTTTTCAGATATCAAATTTGAGGTTGCTGTTGACTGACTGTTTGGCTGGCTGATGAACTCACCCTCTTCCTTACCTAAACCCAACAAATTGTATTGATTGACCCTCCCACACACTTCACTAAAACCAACTGACCATTTTCAAGAAGAAAAAACCCTCACCTGATTTTTAACATGTTTTCAGATTTTACCACATTCTCACCCTGTTTTTTTACTTGTTTATTTTATTTTTTAGATTCTGTTTTTGTCTTACCTGCTTTCTGGAACCGTTCTTCAGCAAACTCAAACCCTGTCATTGTGACCAACTCACCTCTGCATCTCAAGTCCGTTGATGTACACTACAAACTTATAGGACAAACTGGTAACAGCAGGAAAGCCAGCTGTTAAGCTCATATAGAAACAGCGTCATACCGGCCTATCATTCGTTTTAAATATGAAATTTAGTCATACATACTTCTTGCTTCATATTTCGCGATCTATAGAAATGTTTGTAGGGCTACGTTTTCAGAATAAGCCTATATTGACTGTTTGCTTGCTCTTTCTTCCAGCCAACAGAAGGACACAACAACCTAAAGCAGGTTGCACACCAGAAGCGCCGCTCGGCGCGTGCCGCGCAGCGCCACGCAGCGCCATGTATTTTAGAATTCTAAACATAGGTTTCTATCAGGATACACACACCGACGCCGCAAGTCGGCGGCTGTCGGCGGCGCCCGGCGACGGCTCAGGACGCAGTTCATTTTTCAGCCACGCCACAGAGCGCCATCTGATTAGTTTCATGTTAAATATCATTCGAATGTGCGCGTCTGGTGTGTGATACTTTAAACTGTCATGTACGCGCCGTGTCGCGGCGCCGAGCGGCGCTTCTGGTGTGCGACCTGCTTTAAACTGTCATGTACGCGCCGTGTCGCGGCGCCGAGCGGCGCTTCTGGTGTGCGACCTGCTTAAGAGTGATGTAAAATAGGTTAATTCATTTATTTTCTGAAGAAAGGAATACCAGTTACAGCAGTACATCAATTGGAGGCTGGCACAGTTTGCATAAAGTTTATTTAAAAACAATTTATAAATTTAACAAATATATAATTATAATAATGTCAAACTGTGATGATCAATTACGAACAAAGCGTACAATTTAACTGCTAGCCAAGTTTCAGAATATTACATGTGCCCAAGGAGTCTACTTCCCATCTTTATCTAACAGCATCTTGCATCTGAAATCATATTTTGTAAATGTTGTTGTATTTTCAAATTACTTGCGTTTTCATTTCCTCAGCAGTAATGTTTTTTATTTAAACAAATTTGTCCAAATATTTATAATGAAATGCTTTTTGATGTATATTTGTGCCATCACTGTTTATAATATGTATCTCTTAATTGACTCGCTTTTCTTAAATATTATGTACTTTCTATGTTCATATTACATTGCAAAACACATCTGGTGCTTTTGATGTGTTATATGGGTTTGGTTAGAGAAAGGTTTGGTAGTATGCGTAGGTTTAAGGGTTGGATTAATGTGTAAGGGATGATCAATAGTGTAATTAAAGATGTAATTTCAGAAATGAATGACAGATGTAATTACAGTACATGCATGTATTTAATCAATCATACGTTCAATGTAAAAACATGCATTTACACAATAAGTACATCAAAACAAATGATTAATTTCAGTGTAAGTACATATTCATTAAGGAAAGTTAATTTAAAGTGGGACAGTCAATGCAGTTTTACCAGATTTATTGCATCTTAAACTTGTACTTTTTGGATCTGGTAGTTTTAGGCAGGATGTTCTCATGCAGTGTGTTACTGAAAGACCTGGCTGAAACAACTCTATACTTTTATTCATTCATTCTTTTTCTTTTCGGCTCAGTCCCTTTATTAGTCCAGGGTTTGCCACAGTTTAATGAACCACCAACTTATCCAGCATACGTTTTACACTGTGGATGCCCTTGCAGCCCCAACCCATCACTGGGAAATAGGCATAAACACGCATTCACACACACTCATACACTACGAACAATTTAGCTTACCCAATTCATCTTTATCAAATATCTTTAAACTTATAAGGTAAACCAGAGCACCCAGAGGAAATCCACGCAAACACGGGGAGAACATGCAAACTTCAAACAGAAATGCCAGCTGACCTAGCCAAGGCTCAAACCAGCGATCTTCTTGTTGTGAGGCGAACGTGCTACTCACTGCGCCACTACATTGCTGTACACTTTCAGTCTCCATTTAATTGATCTGGGACATTGCTCTAAATGTTGCCCCATGTGTCATCATCTTTAGTTTCCAACACTTACATTTAAACAATCACCTTAAGTCACTAGAGCTACTGCTTTGTTGCAGAAATGCTGACTACTGGTGGTTTTGTATATGGAGGAAGGAGGACTGGTTTTAACAGGCCACCAGTGAACACACCAGACTGGACACAGTACAAAACCTGACAATCATCACTAATGGCAGCGAGATGTTGGCTGAACTGAAGTGGACAGTGAAACTGATTATTTGCTGCAGGATTGCCAAAAGAGCAGCTGAAGAAGCCTCCAAAAGGTACAGAGAATCTTGCTCCAGCCTCGTAATCATTACTCAGACAAATCCTCATGCCATTAGGCAGGAACTTTAGCGTGAAATAGTCTGGTGGGCAGCTATTGGATTTGGTCAGAGGGTTTTGTAAATCTGGTCCATATAGACCTCCAAACAGGTAGCCAGAGTATTCTGGAGTTTTCTGAAATGTGAAACACCAGTAAGTGTCCACTTTTGCCTGATGGACATGGGTAATGTATTCGCTTTTCTGGTGACGACAAGTAAACCACTTAAAAAACCCACAATCTTCAGTAGGTGTTGAGCTTTCCTTATATTGGCGTTCTACTATCTCAGAGTGTAACAAGGTGGTGTTGTAATTCTCAGGGCAAGAATAATCACCAGTGGCTGGGTTTTTCTGTGCTGCCTCTTCACAGATGGCATCTCCATCTGATGTCAATGGAGTGCATCTTTGGTACATGCCACCAAAGCTAAGATTGGTGATCAGACCCTCACAAGACGCATCGTCTACATTTGCCTGGAAGTTGAAGTTTGGGGAATCCACATTTACACAACCCGGAATGGTGTTCACTTTATAGTATCGTTCTATTGCTTGATGAACTGATGAGGCCAGTTTTTTAACTGTTTGTGTTGGGAGGTCTGGGAATGTTGATGGATTAAGAAAATAGTGCAGCGGCAGCCCAGAACGGTCAATGGCAACCAGATTATTAAGCGTACTCTCTTGCCACTTAGGCAGAGTAATGCCTGGATAGAATAAAGCTCCTCCATGACTCAGCATTACAGAATGTACAACGTTTCTCTGATATTCCTGAACTGCAGTGTTGTCTTGGGATCCCTTGCCACCAACATCAAATTTAAGATTGTCGAAGAACTTCAAGCCTGCTGCTGCAGAAAGAGAGGACAAATCTGACTGATTGTCAGGGACATAGGACCTTTTTAAATAATCTTCTTGCACCAAAGTGGCTCCAGCATCAACACTTGTGATGACATGGGTGCCATAATTAAGTACAAGTTTCTCTGACAGATACATTTCTAGGCATGTTTGATTATTTTCAATGGCGTGTGCTATTTCCAGTGCCTGCTGAGCAAAACGGGAGTCCAAAATGAAGTCAAGATACACCTTTAGTGTGTACAGATGGTTTCGAACCTAAAAAAAAAGAAACAAAATAGATGAAATAGGTTTTAGAAATTAACATGTATACAAAAAAAACTTGATTTAGGTACATATTTAGGTCACACTTTTTTTGATGGTCCATTTGTTGAATTTAAGTTACATTGCATTTACATGCCAACTAGTTCTCAATAGATTATAAGTAGGCTGCTAGGTTGGGGTTAGGGTTGGGTTTAGGGTTTGTGTAAGTTGACATATTTGATGATGATTGATGATCCAGCGAGCTGAATAGATCTTTCAATCCTGTTTGATTTGTGCACTTCTTGTCTTATTGATAAGATTATACGCCTAATACGGAGACATATTAATACACGGGGAAACAGCACTAATATGTCATATCGGCCTCAAAATGGGAGGGATTTGGATCCTATTTTACGTCAAGAAATTTCAAAAAGAGACTTATCACTCCGATATGACAGTGGACACACTATACCTATACACAGTTCTTTCCAGACAGCTTACAAAAGACGATTTTCATAATAGGTGCCTTTTAACTGAATATACTGTTGTCAGTGTATGCTTAATACATTGGAAAGTAAAAATTCATTAACCAGGTTATATATTTTGTCTTTCAAATATAAGATATTTCTCATATTTTGAAGGTTTAATTAAACCTTTAGAATCATTTGAAAAAGAAATGGCTAACTTTTAAAGTTCACACACATTCATCTTTTTTAGACTGATAATAGTAATGGTGAACAAATGTTGAATGTTTAATTACAATAGTTAAATTTGATTTTGACTTACTTGAACTCGTGATGTCACAGAATTGTCTTTCACTTGGCGAGTTTTCAAATGTCGATATTCTTCTGAGTATTTACCATTGAGCGCCGAAAGGAAGGAAACGTCTGCATTGATGGAGCTTGAGGTAGAGCTTGTGTGATTCATCCATGACATAATGATCTCAGAGTTTGTTTCCACTGCACCCTCTTTCTTTGGAATAACAAAGACTTCATCTGGAATGAGATAGACTCCATCTGCTGTGGTCTGACACCGGGAGTAGCTCAGATTCATCACTCGTCCCTTGTCTATGTTGCGCAGGTTATCCCAGCCTCCACCTGGTAAAACATCCAGTGCTGTCAAACTTGCATTTTTATGACACGAATGAAGTCCATTACATGGATGAATAAGGGGACAAAGATCACTGACACGAATAAAAAAGATGAGCATCAGAACAGTGAATGCTCTTGACTCCATGGTTGCCAAATAAGGTCTGTGGCAATGCAGCACTAGAAAAAAAGGCTATGTATTTCAGTCAACGGGGTGTGGACTTCTGAAAAGGTTTAGCTGGCAACTTTCACATTCAATATTGCAGATGTACTCTTGATGTACTTTCCTTTTTTATTCTGGCATGAGGCCTGATGCACTCATGTTTTTCCAAACCACTTAAAAGCTTAAAGAGTCAAAAAGAATGTTGATTGTCATAAACCACCAGATTATTGATTTGTACTTTCCACTTTAGTAGAGTGATGCCTGATGCTTGCCATATCAAATTAAGTAGTATGACTAACGTGAGATGGTTACAGACCTTAAAAAATAAAAAAGTAAAATATTTAAGTAAATATAATGTTAAAATAAATTGAGAATTTCAGTAAACAACCTGACGACTTTCACATTCAATACTGAATATGTATTATTGAATTGTAATGCACCTATGTTTTTCTCCTCTACTGTGTAGTGAGTAACAAGTTAGAAAAGTAATGTTTAAAGTTACAAATGACTGTTTTGCTGTAATTCAGTAGTGTAAGGCATTATTTAGCAAATAGTTTACTTGCCTGTTGAGTGCAGTTTGAGACTAAATCCATTGCTGTCAATCAAATTGAGTGCCTGTTTGTGTTTTGTAAATGGCCATTATTTAGTTCACACATCATTCATCTTTTTTTAGACTGAAAAGAGCACTGGTGAACAATTGTTGAACAATTGTTGAATGTTCAATTACAATAGTTGAATGTGATTTTGGGTGACGCGGTGGCGCAGTGGGTAATGCCCTTGCCTCACAGCGAGAAGGTTGCTGGTTTGAGCCTCGGCTGGGTCAGTTGGCATTTCTGTATAGAGTTTGCATGTGCTCCCTGTCTTCACGTGGGTTACCTCCAGGTACTCCGGTTTCCCCCAAAAGTCCAAAGACATGCGCTATAGGTGAATTGGGTAAGCTAAGTTGTCGGTAGCGTGTGTGTGTGAATGCAAATGTATGTGTGTTTCCCAGTAATGGAAAGGGCTGGAAGGGCATTCTCTGTGTAAAACATATGTTACATATGTTGGTGGTTCATTCCGCTGTGGCGACCCCTGATTAATAAAGGGACTAAGCTAAACATAAAATGAATGAATGAATATGATTTTTGAGTTAATTGAACTCTTGACGTTGCAGAATAGTTTAACATTGTTTTGTCTCTAGAGAGAGCATATTGAAAACAAAGTCATCGTTTGATGATGCCATAAATGGGTGTGGAATCATGGGAATTGTTGTCTTTACATCTTCTGGAGCTCCTCTTGTTCATGTTTATCTTGAGTATGCTTGGTGGTTGCTTAACCTTTTAGCAAAATAAATGTAAAAATACAAAACAATTACTGTGTGAGGCCAGAGATCCTGCTGGAGTCCTGTAGGACTGAAATTTCCCACAGAACAGGATGATAGTTTACAGTTTTTACAGTTAAAGTACCTTATATTTCTGCATTTATAGTACTGTATATACTTCACAGGCAACTTTTATGAGTCCTGCATGTTTTCTGTTAAATTCATGCACAAATTCAGCATGTTCTTTGTATGATTCCTGCATGATCCTTCTAAAATTTCTGCAGTTGTCTTGAATGTTCCCTGTAATATTTCTTCATGTTTTTGTAGGATTCCTGCAGAAGTCCTGCATGTTCTGTAGGATTCCTGCATGTCTCAAGAAAGATTCATGCATGAGTTCTGCATGTTCCCTGAAGGGTTACTGCATATTCCATATAGGATTTCATAGGAAGTCCTGCATGTTCCGCGTAGGATTTCTACCTGTTACTTGTAGGATTCCTGCAGGAGTCCCAAATGTTATCTGTAGGAATCTTGCAAGTCCCTTGTTGCATACCTCTATGTTTCTTGTAGGATTCCTGTAGTAGTTATGGAATATTCTGTGTAGGAGTCCTGCATGTTCCCAGTAGGATTCCTGCATTAGTCCTGCACATTCCGTTTCTGAGTCCTGCATGTTCTAAGTAGGATTTATTTATTTTATTTTTTGGTAGGATTCCTGCTGGAATCTTGCATGTTTCCTCTAAGAATTATGCAGGGGTTCTACATGTTCCCTGTAGGATTACTGCATAATCCATGTAGGATTTCATAGGAAGTCCTGCATGTTCTGTGTAGGATTTCTACCTCTTTTTTTGTATGATTTCTGCAGGAATCCTGCAGGTTCCCTGTAGGATTGCTACATGTTTTTTGAATTCTCATATGTTCCCTGTTGAATTCCCATATGTTTCTTGTAGGATTCCTGCAGGGGTCTTGCATGTTCCCTGTAGGATTTCTGCAGGAGTCCAGCATGTTTTATGTAGGATTTCCATATGTTCCTTGTAGAATTTCTAAAGGAGTTCTCCATATACCCTGTTAATATCATTGCACCTTTCAAAGCCAATCACATTACTGCACAGATATTACTGTTCACAGATTTAACTACAGGAGTTAGGTTTAAGATTAGGGTTATTGTAAGTTAGGGTTAGTTACGGACAAGGTTAATGTAGTTTAGGGTTAGTTATGGAGATGGATAGGGTAGGGTTAAATTAGAGTTACAAACATGTTGTACAGGTCATAGTTTTTCTCACATTTTCTCAAATAGCTTACTATAGCTTTCTTTTTTTGTGGGATAAAGTTATGAAATTGTAACTAAAATTTTGCTCAAAAAACAAAAGATTTTATTTGCACTTTGTGTTATAAACCAACCAAAAACACCCATACCAATCATCAAAAGCGAAACTGTTATTCATTTACATTTTTTTCAAAGATATGTCTTTGAGGTGTTTGAACAATTCAATGCCTTTATAGTGAATATTCTTTAACAAAATAATAAACATATATATATAGAAAGAAATAGAATGTGTATTTAATAGTGCTATGCTAACAAGTGCACATAAAAAATCACAGTACATAAAGTTTCCATAATCAGTTATCAATCATTCATTGGTTATTTTATATGCACCCATTATCCTCAAATAGCCACATTTCTCAAACATTTCTCAAATCTATTTGCTATTAAAATTGAACCTATGGAGCATATGTAAAAGTACACCAAAGTACATACGATTTTAACATGACATCAGTGTGTTCAAATAGAAGGCTTAAAATTATTTATTTTCTAATCATGTTTGGCCTATTAGTTGTTTGTTCTATACAAATACAGAGGTCTCACAGTTTTGGTGAATATCTGCTACACCTGGGTCCAGTCAGATGAGCATCACAATAAGCCTTGTAGGTGAAATAAAGGACACCTTTCTTTAATTTACAGCTGTGTGAGTGAATACCACGTTCAGGACTGACCACACATCTCCCCACCATGTCATTATAAATCACATCACTGTCCCACACCTCAAATATTAGTTCATGACCAAACTCAACCGATCCCAAATCATAGCTGATATTCCACTCAGGATCATTATTGTCCATAACCACCTCAGTCTCCTCATACATGAAGTTATACCAGACTTTGACATAACCATCAGTGCGTGTGAAGAGATCAGCTTTCAGTCCTGCAGCTCTCTGCACTAACACTATTAATGTGCCACGACCGGCTCTCATAGGACAGCAGTTATGATCCAGATTTGGTGTTTGAGAGCATCCTTGATTCTCCTTGTGGTCTACAGAAATCATGTTCTCTTCAATATATTCAGTTACTGCTATTTTTAGGTTGGAACTAACCTCAGGATCTGCCACCAGATGATGGAGAGGGAAAATAGCATATGAAATAACGTCAGGGTTGTCATGCAAGCTCATCATCCAGTTTGAGTAAGCTTCAGCTGGGCTTTGGTTTAAAACAAGGTCTGGGAAGTATTTCTCTCCTCCCAGAACCTCTGTCTTGTGTGTCATGAAGCCCTGGTAAAAACCCATGCTCAGATTATCCTTAAGTATTTGAGAGCATTTGTTGGAAAGCGAGGCATTGCCTGGCAAGAACCCCAAAGTGATTTTTAACTCCACATTTAGACAGTTTTTGATATCGGTCTCCGAGAAGCCCTTCAGGGTTGCAAGACATGTTCGAAAAGCTGTGACCCGCCTCACTCGCCCACCCAGATGGACTTGGCGTATGTAGTGAGTGCCATATGTATCAATAGTCCTTCGGTACAAAGGTTTTGTTTGTGCATCATACTGTGCCGGAAGCTTCTGGAGATGTTTTGAGAATTCAGCGCTGAGCTCTGGGTTGTCTGTTATCCTGTAACTGCAAACAGAAAAAGGTCATATCTCAGTAGATTCTAAATAAAACTGTAAAAACTGCCTGACATTTTGATTTTTGACAGCTATTTTGTCATGGGAGGTGATAAGAAAGTACTCATTAATGCTTTGTCTAGGTTTCTTTTTCAGATAAATCTGTGGTTTTTTAGATAAATCAGTGACCTTTTTATGGCAAAAAAAATTTTTTTGTCAGATCAGCATTACATGCTTTATCTTTAAGATATTGCATCTGCATCATGAGACATAATCACAATGTTGTTACAACTTTTATGATTTTAAAAGTCTGAAGTGACAAAAGTTTGCGCTTAAAACATTTTTTAATGTTGTGTATGAAACTGAAAATATGAAAACAGCATAAGGGAAATGTCTAAATGTATAGTAGTAGCTGACTTGGCACGAACTGACTAACAATCACTAAAATCACGCACAGAAATTGTTCATCTGACGGTTTACAATGGATTGTTCATAAATAGGGGTTCGAGCGCGAAGCGCTGAAACCCTATTGTTTTTGTAAATTTTTGCTCTTATTATTATGTTTTTTTCTGCTGAAGTTGCTATTGCTCTGACCAAACTGTAAGGCCTAGAGAGCTGAAACTTGGTCAGATGGTAGTACTCTGGTACACTACATGCTCAACAAAAATCAGCCAAATCGGACCATAAGTGGCGCTATGGTGCTAAAAACCAACATTTTAGACATTTTTGGCCGCCATTTGTACACTGTTTGTCGTAGACTCAAAAAACATACATATTTGTAATCCCTGGGTTAGCCTGAAATGGAGTCACTTAAATTTTCCAGACAGCTGGAAAGTTTTTCCGCTACCTGTGATTTGTCCGAAACCTACTTTTGCAAGCTATTCCTAGGTTTTTTGCCCAATCTGAACCAAAACAGTTCTGAAATGGTCTCTGAACACTGAATATTAATACTTATCAAAAAAAAGTTGAAGTTTTTATTCTCACACAAAACAGTACACAAAAATGTTCAATGGTAATTGAAGCTATATGCTAATTGTAGCTATAACTTTTGAATGAAATGACATATCACCAAACTTGGCACAAACATGTGTAAGGTCAATTTGAGGTCACAGTGCAAAACGCGCGGACTTTGGCCACATGGTGGCGCTATAAGGTTTAAAAACCACAAAAAGACCCTAACCTTACAACCATTAGTCCAATCAGCTTGAAATTTGGAATGCAGTGTCTTTGTCCAAGTTGTCATGACATACTATAAGGACATTGGCATATCTCAAAAAACATGGCCGCCATTAGCTAATAAAGATTGAGCAGCCATTAAACAAGGTTAACAATGAGTGATCAAAACGAAACTCGGTGGGCATGTTCGACTCATGGTCCTAAAGGTTTGTAAAATTTTTAAAGAAATTTTGTGTTTTTTGAGGTTGTAATAAATTGGTTATTACACAGAGTTTTACAAAGCCACACAAAATGCATATCATATGATAGGCCTGCTCATACCGAACAGTTTGAGACTAAAACCATTGCTGTCAATCAAATAGTTTGTTCAAAAATCATCAATATGTAAAAAAACCTACTTTTGCGAACTAGTCCCTGGTTTTTAGCTCAATCGCAACAAAACCAGTGTTGTTTCACATTGATATGCCTCATGTGCTCACCAATTTCTGTGATGTTTTGAGTTTTCCTTATGGGTTTACAGGCATGTAGGTTCATGTAGACATGCCCCTTTTGTAAATGAGCCCGTTACAGCTATCCAAAGTGAAAAGTTAAACTTTTTTTTGGATAATTATTGATCTACTCACTCCAAGATTCTAGAAACTTGCGATTTTTTGTGGAGATCGGGCAATAGGTGGCGCTATAATAGTAGAGATGGTCCTAAAAACATGCTAAAATGGCTTAAAAATGCAGTAAACATGCTTAATTTACACACATTTACAAGTTTAGTTCAAGCTTATCACTTAAATTATTTACATGCTAAATTTTTGGTCCATCTTGGATGTTTTACAGATCTCAAAAACACATATTTTTAATATTCTATAATTTTAGCCACTATAACACAGACTTTAAATTGTCACCTACCAAATTTAACCACTCGATGTTAGCACAAGACCACGTATTATTTGTTCATAACATTTGCATACCTTTGTTTTTTTACATTTTTAAAGTTTAAAGTCAGGGAAATTGCTTTTAGAATCATTCTGAATCACATGTTGACATGATGCAAACACTGTTATGCATTAAAAAACTAATTTAGTCCCAGTTAACTTCTTCATAATAATTCAAATAGGCAAAAACTGGTTCTATAATTAAACACCTTGTTTAAAAACATATTTAAAAAATCAGAACTGTGGCCACTAGATGGTAGCAGTAACAGACCACATATAGTTTATTTTACTGCTCTGTAGCAAATAATGCATTCTGAATCTCAAACTGACATACCATAAACACAGTTAATACATTTAAGATCAAATTTAGTCAAAGCTTGTCAAACTTTTTAACTCTGTAGATAATTATTTTAATAAAATACAACATTTAGAGTTATAGCATGCTCATTTACAGAAGGAATATATTTATGCACTCCTAAATGGCTGTAATCACATGAAAAAATTACACCGTGGCCACTAGATGGCAGTAGGAGATCACTAATAGCATGTTTCACTGTTCTTTTGAATTTTTTATTGGGAAGAGCTAAAATGGCCCTAACTCATGAATGGATTAAAATATCTTCACCAAACTTGTTACACATATGCAAGAGGTCAATCAAAGGTCATAGCATGAAACTCGTAGACATTGGCCAGATGGTGGCGCTATACATTGAAAAATCACAGTATCTGAGTAACCATTTATCTGATTAACTAGAAATTTGACATGCAGTGTCTTTTTCTAAGGTGCCATGACTTGATCTACAAATTATATCATAGGGCTGCTTATACTGAATCCTTCGACATAACAGCGGCCATTACAAATGTTCATTAAAAATTTGTCAATACATATAAACCAAAGTTGCTTTTTTGGAGTGTGTAATCAAACATTTGTTAGCTCAATCTATAAACACTAATACTCTAATAATTTATTTCATTGTTGAGTAAGCTACTTACAGACTTCCTAACTGCTATATAACGTTACGCTGCTAAAATGCTTAAATCCCGTTAATTGCTGCTTGCAGCTATATTTATCATATATTTTTGCTCATCACGCCCTCTAGGGGTTGAACCCTAAAGCGAACATTGTTTTGGTTGTGCTTTGGTTCTACTTTCTGTGCGGAGATTAGAGAGATCGGTTTGCACGTAGATAAAGGACATCTTGTTAGAGCGAATAGAAAAATTACAGTGTTTTCACATACACCTGCCATTTTGAACGATTCATGTTAAATCTTTGACAGGTATGTAACAGTTTCCCCCAAAATCAGTCCTGACAAATATCAGCATTATAGCAACATTATACATTTATTAAAGCGCAGACGTTGTTCGGTTAAATACTTGGAAAAATACAGATACCGACAAACATTTTTTCACATTCGTTTATTTTAAGTGACATTGTTTAGGTTTCACTGACCAAATAATTATTGAAACTGTAAAACTTATGACACTGAATAAGGACTGACCAAAAACTCTGTTGCTAAATACATTTATTTGATCTCTGAACAGGACTAATTTTGCACAGAGGTTTGCACAAAACATATTGTAGAAGTTGATTTTAGAATCTTCAACTCGCCCACTGCTGATGTGATTATTATCATAATCATCATGCAAGGGTGTAGAGAGATATTGAGTGCATTGTTGTCATTTTTTGGGCAAATAGTATAAATACAAAACAAAAATATAGACTAACCTGTAGTATGTACAGCTGATCTCATGAAGGGCAAAGGTTGCCTTATCCATTGTATTCTGAGAATGGGCAAATTGAGCAATATCTGATCGACTCCCTCCAAAAATCACCTTTCCCATGTCATCCAGGCTAAGATCCATTTCCCAGTTATTATTAACAAGCGACGTTGAACTCTTCATAAGGGAGTCGACAGAATGATGAAGAGCGCTAGAAAGCTGTTTGCTGCAGCGGCTGAAGGGTCGCCAGTCCAACACGGCTGAGGGGAGTTTCTGCATCTGCCCTCCTTGAAAGCGGTTTTTGCAGATGGTACAGGTACCGTTGTCTATGTGTGACTTGACATTTATCAGAAAGGCACCTTTACGACGCATCTTGACAACATCAAAGCCTTCTCCTGCCAGATTGTAGCCAGGCACAAATGGAGCTTTTTCACATTCCGTCTGAGAGCCAGTGTGACAAGCTGAACTTGAGTCCCAGTGTGCCAACATCAGAAAAATACAAAGGAATGTGAGGGAAACACAGTTATTGGTGTCCATGATGATGTCTACAGAGAAATGAGGGTTAAAATGTAATATTTCAGGAATAGAAAGTTTATTGAAGAAATATGCATTCAAAAAAAGATCATTTTAAAATGATATGATGAATTTATTTTGAATTATTTTGTATTAATAGGATTTAAGAAACTGTTCAAAAATATATTTTAAAAAACCTTACCAGTGCCAGTTTTGCCCTCTAAGTAGCTTTCATACAATAGTCTGTTCCAGCTGTGCTACACCACCATGTTGACCTACTTTAAAAAAAAGTATTTTCCTCTGTTCCTCTTTTGAAACACAGTTTCTTCAAGTGTAACAGCTGTAGAGTCGCTCTGTGGAATGCTAACAGTGAAAGAGAGGGCTGTGAGAGAGTCTGGCATTTGTAGAAGGGAGTGTCTTCCTTTCAAGCTTTTTCTTCTGTGCTGCTGGACACTGGACAGATTTCATCCGGTCACTGGTTTTGTTTTGATTTAGATTTTTTTTTTTCATTAAATACCAGCTGTGCAGTGGGGGAGGGCTGTCATGAGACTTTGCATGCAGTGGAAGGTCTAGATAAATCATGCAGGTCTAGATTAATCATGCAGCACATGTGGATGACAATATGCAGCATGTATTTTATTTTCCCCTGAAGCTGAATGGTAGACATTGCACATGGCCCGTAAACATATCAAAGTGATTAGCACATTATATTGGTAAAGCAATGGAAAGAACATTTGCAAACTAAATACATGACAATAATGTTGTTGTTGTTTTTTCATGTTTTATTTTTGTCTATAGGTAATTTACAGTACCATTTTTCTGGAGGAAATGTGCCATTGCAGTATTAGCTGTGGGGATATTCCAGTGAAATGACATCATCTCAACAGCAGGTGGCGTCAGTGACTTGTTGTGAAACATAACTTGGTCTGAGGTCAATAGCTCTAAGTCCAGACGGTCTTAAGTTTATAATGAAGAAGTACTTTGCCCTAAAAGAGTATATTCTATAAAATATGAATGTTTGTAGTATAAATGTAATCTGTACATACTTCATGTGACCTTTTAGTGTTAATTATGTAGCGACCTTGCCATTTACAATACAGGACAGTAAAGAGGACTGGACAATAAAGTGTGAATGACTAGGATCGAAAAACTGATGCAGGTAGGTAACATGACAATTACTATAAATTGAATGTAGATTGGGCAGCACGGTGGCGCAGTGGGTAGCTCTCTCGGCTTGCAGCAAGAAGGTTGCTGGTTTGAGCCTCGGCTGGGCCAGTTGTCGTTTTTGTGTGGAGTTTGCATGTTCTTTCCATGTTCGCGTGGGTTTCCTCCGGGTGCTCCGGTTTCCCCCACAGTCCAAAGACATGCGGTATAGGTGAATTGAATAGGCTAAATTATCCGTAGTGTATGTGTGTGAATGGAAGTTTGTGGGTGTTTCCCAGTTATTGGTTGCAGTTGGAAGGGCATACACTGTGTAAAACATATGCTGAATAAGTTGGTGGTTTATTCTGCTGTGGCGATCCCAGTTTATTAAAGAAACTAATCCAAAAAAAAGGAATTAGAGTAAATTAAATCTGCTGCAGTTCAAATCGAGCATCAGAATGGGAAGAAAGTTAATTTAAGTGATTCTGAACATGGCATGGTTGTAGGTGCCATATGGGCTGGTCTGAGTATTTCAGAAACTTCTGATCTACTGGGATTTTCATGCACAACCATGTCTAGGGTTCACACAGAATGGTCCAAAAAGGGAAAATGCACAAATGCCTTGTTGATATCAGAGGTCAGAGGAGAATGGCCAGACTGGTTCCAGCTCATAGAAAAGCAACAGTAACTCAAAAAAGCACTCGTTACAACTGAGGTATGCAGAAAAGCATCTCTGAATGCACAACACTTCAAACCTTGGGGCGGTTGGGCTACAGCAGCAAAAGACCACACTGGGTGCCACTCCTGTCAGCTAAGAACAGGAAACTGAGGCTACAATTCACACAGTAGATGATTGGAAAATGTTGTCTGGTTTGATGAGTCTCGATTTCTGCTGTGACATTTGGATGGTAGGGTCAGAATTTGGCGTCAACAGCATGAAAGCATGGATCCATCCTGCCTTGTATCAACAGTTCAGGCTGGTGGTAGCGCTGTAATGGTTTGAGGGATGTTTTCTTGGCACACTTTGGGCCCTTTAGCACCAATTGAGCATCGTGTCAATGCCACAGCCTACCTGAGTAATGTTGCGGACCATGTCCATCCCTTTATGACCACAGTGTACCTATCTTCTGATGGCTACTTCCAACAGAATACCATGGTGCCACGTCATAAAGTGGGAATCATCTCAGACTGGTTTCTTGAACATGACAATGAGTTTACTGTTCTCAAATGGCCTCCACAATCACACAAAATAAACACAAAATATATTTTGCTGCATGAGAAAAAATTCTACTCTACAGTATTAATTGCTTTCAGAGACAGAGAGAGAGAGAGAGAGAGAGAGAGAGAGAGAGAGGGAGAGGGAGGGAGAAAACATTTTAGTGCTCCTCTGCGATTTTTTCATGTATTTCTGGGCAGAATTCTGGGATTGTTTACTGAGACCTATTGTATTAGGTTGATTCTTCATTTGTGGTATTGATTGTTCCCTAACATTGTTGACTTTGATTGTTTGCAAACATGTGCTTGTGTTCTAATTTAGAAGAAGGTTAAATGATAGTAGCTGTGAATACAGTAACTTATGAAATGGAAGTAATTTTCTACTATTAGGTATTTACTACTAAATAGGTAGGTGGTAGGTAGTTCCTATCACTTACCTAGAACTTTCCTAATTCCTGTTCTTCTGTGTGAAATGAAATTAAAATATCTGATTGTTCATGTGAGCAAACCATGATGGTTTCTTTGTGAAACAATACTTTCTTGTCATGTAAATGCAAATTACAACAGATAAGTGGTGCCATATTGAGTTGTGAAAAAAGACACTATTAAGAGGAAAATGGATGTAAGATAACCAATAGAGGAACAGAAGTAGCCGAGATTTGTAGATTAATTGTCACATCACATCACTGTAAATACAAGTTCACTCAATTCAAAATTGTAAGGCAACTTGGTGCAGATCTTTTTTGAGTTGATTCAACTGTAAACCTTAATACTGCACTTGATTTAAGTTGAGTAAACTCATAAATGTCCTTAAGCTGGTTGCCATAAAGTTTTAAGTTGAGTCAACTTTTTTACAGTGTTGTTAGAGTGTTTCTCTTGTCTATTACAATTACCCTAATATTAGGTTAAAACAACAGAATTAAAACTCAAGATTTCATGTCCTTGTGTATGCTCAAGAACTCTTTATTAGTCAGAAAAAGCACACCGATCTACATAAATTTGGGGAAAAAAAGTATAAATCCATTGAAAATAATTTTGCGTTTAAACCTATAATTCATAGATTCCCCAAAACTAATTCATTTCAGAGTAATGAACACTTGTTTCAAAACAAAAAATATATAACACTTACACGTATGTAGTAAAACATACTTTATACAGTCTTTCCTCATATTTAACTAAATCATTTTTATATTTTTATAATGACAGAGACATTTAATAGAAACATTTTTTTTTTCTTTGTTTCAACTGTTGGTTGTAAAGCAAGACAACATTTAGACAATTCAGACAACTTTTAGTAATCACTATACTTCTAATATTCATTAAAATGTTATGAAGTTTAACTATAAGTCTCTGGACGTTGATCTTAAAACGACTGTTATGAGAGTAGTTGTTGATTGGGGTTTTCATTTGCAGCTTCATTCTGCTCTTGTTCAATCTCAACACTGCTCTCATTTCGTCCCTCACTAATCTCTTCATAACCTCTGTTCAGCTTTAGACTAGAGAACCTATTTCTTCTTTTCATTATAACCACAGTGCCTGCGACAACGAGAGCAACCAGGACTATTATACCAATGGCTACTCCAGCCTTTTTTCCTCCAGACATCTCAGAGGCATCGAGTATTGATTGCATTTGTTTAATGTCACCAGGCTTTGCCAATCGCCACATTTTAGTCTCTCCAACTCTCACCCAAGAACGCTCACCTTCTGTCATTACAGCCACTGTGTTTGTCGCAATCATGCCGACCACTGGTGGTCTTGTGAACGGTGGAAGACGAACTGGTTTTAAATGACCACCACTGAACACACCAGACTGGACACAGTACAAAACCTGACAGCCATCACTGATGGCAGCGAGATGTTGGCTGAACTGAGGCGGACAGCGAGATTGACCATTTGAAAGAGGGTTGCCAGATTGACAACTGAAAAACCCAGCAAATGGCACTGAGAATCTTGTTCCAATCTCATAATCATTGCTCATACAAATCATCATGCCATTAGACAAGAAGCGTTGGGTGAAGTAACTTGGAGGACAACTGCTGGATTTGGTCAATGGGTTTTGGATGCCTGGTCCAAACAGACCTCCAAAGAGATATCCAGAGTTCTCAGGGGTTTTATGTGTTGAAGAGCACCAGAGCGTTTCAAGTTTAGCACGACGGACGTGGTAAGAATCACCACATGTTTTGTCACAACAAGTAGACAACCCTAAGAAACCACAGGAATGGCAGTGGGTGTGGCATTCATAATGATTAAAGCCTTTTTCCACTATCTCAGAGTGTAACAAGGTGGTGTTGTAATGTTGAGGGCAAGAATAACCACCGGTGGCTGGGTTTTTCTGTGCTGTTTCATCACAGATGATGTTTCCATCTGGAGTCAGTGGAGTGCATCTTTGGTAAATGCCACCAAAGCTAAGATTGGTGATCGGACCCTCACAAGATGCATCGTCTACATTTGCCTGAAAGTTGAAGTTTGGGGAATCCACATTTACACAACCTGGAATGGTGTTCACTTTATAGTAACGCTCTGCTGCTTTACGCACTGTTGAAGCCAATTTGTTCACTGTTGGTGTTGGGAGGTCTGGGAATGTTGATGGATTAAGAAAATAGTGCAGCGGCAGCCCAGAGCGGTCAATTGCCACCAGATTATTGAGCGTACTTTGTTGCCACTTCTGCAGAGTG